AATTTAATGAGACACAGTAGAGAGTATCACAGCGCCGGTCACCGGTGACGGCATTCAACATGCTAAAGGTCAGAGGCCGCGACCGTCGTCGTCCTTATCGTCGCGAATTTCGGCAGCGCGCTCCCCAAGGAGTCGCCAGATTGATCGATAGCTTATAAAATCGCTCGTTATACAAGCAGGAGCCGCACTATAATTCGCGTTGTTATCCCACGCGTCGCTCACGCTTCTCGCCCGGGAGAACTTTTGCTCAACCCGGCCCGTGTATTTGGCATTTGCAGCAAACTGTGCGGCACGGTAATTAAGACCACGATAACACGCCGTCATCACGATCGCTGATAGGACCAATACTCGTTAGAAAGCCTATTAAAATTTACATTTTTTTTCCATCGCCCACTTTTCGGAAAACATCGCGACAAGCTCGGCGAATATCGCGGCGAATAAATCTCTGCGTGGAATTAATCCAAAGAGATGAGAGGCGAGTTCTGAAGAATCTTATTTCGAGCTTGAAAGGAAGGAAAAGAAAAAGGGAAGAAAACGAAAGAGAAAAAGGAAAGGCAGGAAAAGATAGCGGAGGAAAACACAGTTTAATGAAGATTGCAAGAGCTAACAAAAATCCAGCAAAGATAAAAGTAGGTACCAATGCCCGGACACAGCCAATAGCAATAATTCTTACTTTGTTCTAATATTGAAATATGAATTTTTAATTTTCAACATAAGAAATACATACATTTCATGTTGAAAGTTTAAATATTTGTATCTGAAGGCCAAGACAATAAGAGTGTCCAGGATTTAGTGCGTGGGAAACTTTTACCTCCGAAAATTGAACGCTGGGCGATATTTGCGTAAGTAAAAGAGAAACCATAAGTATCTGTAGCATACTAAACGCAAAATGACACGTCGCTGATATACTAAGAAAAAAAATATTTGAAAAATAAGAAAAGAGTTTATTCGACGGGTACTAATAACGTATTTATTTAAACCTGAATTTTTTTACTTAAATTGAGAAGAAAAAAATAGTCGATCTAACTAAAATTATAGTTACTTTTAAATTTGCTCATGACACATTGGTTACATTTTTCAAAATACATCGTTTGCCAGAAAACTTTTCGTCAACGTGCAACTTTAATTGCAAACCTGTCAATTTGCAACTTGGTTGATTCGCCATTTCGATCGCGAATCTCAGAACTTTCCTTCCTGTTCGATTAGCTGCTCAATGGCTTCGCTCGGCCCTCACAATCGCATTTTCCTCGGACGATGCACTGGCGCATCCGCAGGATGCGATTGCGCTGTTTTTTTTTCCAGCAAAATCGTGGGATTCTTTTTCCCTTTCTTTTCTTTCACGCGTACGAAATCGATTCTCCGCATTTCTACCTGGGAGAAACCAACGCGCGCGCGTGTACAAATGCGAACTCGCAGCACCTTACGCTACACCTGCAATCGACAACGTCGGTCGCGTGGGAATAATCGCAGCAATTCTCATTACATTACGCGTCGGCGGCGCACTCGTGCCGCGTATGCAGAATTTCGCACGACACGTAAGCGCGTGCGTGCGTCCCGCTTAGTGCGAGACGCAATCCCGCGTCGTCAATGTTAGGAATTTCGTAATCGAGTTTTCCACGGTATTTAGAGCGTGATACGCGGCGTGACGTACACAGCGAACATCGGGTGATATCGCGTCGCGGATTTTCGTTAAAATCGCGCGGACGTACTAACGTAAATTTCCTGGAATAAAATCCCCCTCAAAACCGGTGAGAAAATTCGCCCCGGGCGACAGTAAAAATACTCCCGCTCGAAATTACAAAAGTGAGTAGTTCGCGCGAGTTTAAAACGGATTCTTTATCCTCGCAAGTCGCGGAAGACCGAGGACTGCTGTGCAACACTCTTCCTCGATAAGTTCTCCGCGTTTCGCAACGCATTTGTCCGTGTCGGACAGGGAGATGTGTCTCTCGAGAATTATCGGGAAACAAATTCTCCTGTTGAATTTGAGATGCGTTTACGAGGCCCATCGGGGAAAAATGTTGCAGCCTTTAATGAAACGGCCGTACGAGTGAATGTTTCAGTCAATTAGAATGTTTCAGGGACGGTGGAGAGAGTAGATTGGGTTCGCTCGCTAAATCTCGAGTGAAAATATTCACTCGACGATGCAGAATGGAAAATTTACTTCATACGAGTAGAAAGTCACTCGACTTCAAATGACTCGGCTGTCATTCTACATTTCCAGTGGAATCTCGCTCGAAGAAATTTAGAGAGTGAAATTTCCCTCGAGACGAGTGAACATTCGCTCCAAGTGAATAGCGCAATTTACCGCCGAATGATTAAATCAACTGTAGAATGGATTCTTAATCGGCACGAGTGAATTTTTCAGTCCACTGGAGTGAGTTTGTTCCAGTTACAAGCACGTCGGATTTGCTTTGCAATTTCTACTGAATTTTCTCCACGGAAAATTTTTCACCGAATATTTTCGCGGAAAACATCCGAAATGGAAGAAATCGTTCTATTTTCGAGTAAATTTTTTTCACTGACTATTATCTGAAAGTATTCGAAATGAAAGAGATTGCTCTATCTGAGTAAAAACAATTACTTATTTCCAGTGACTGGGCTTTACTTTCAGAATGAAACATCCGAAAACATCTAAAATGGAAGAAATCATTCTATTTTCGAGTAAATTTTTTTCACTGACTATTATCTGAAAGTATTCGAAATGAAAGAGATTGCTCTATCTGAGTAAAAACAATTACTTATTTCCAGTGACTGGGCTTTACTTTCAGAATGAAACATCCGAAAACATCTAAAATGGAAGAAATCATTCTATTTTCGAGTAAATTTTTTTCACTGACTATTATCTGAAAGTATTCGAAATGGAAGAGATTGCTCTATCTGAGTAAAAACAATTACTCATTTCCAGTGACTGGACTTTACTTTCGGAGTGAAACTTCACTCGAAAAAATTTAGAGAGAAACGAGTGAGCATTCGCCGTGAATAGTGCAATTACCTCCATTCAAGATCAAGAGTGAATGTTTGACTCAATTATAGAAAGAATTTTTAATCGACATGAGTAAACATTCAGTCAGAGTGAATTTTTCAATTACAGTTGAGATACGTTAAATTTGTTTGAATATTCCGACTGAATGTCTTCCACTAAATATTTTTCAAAATGATTAAAAAATATTCAAAATGAAAGAAGTCACTCCATCTGATCAAAAAGTTGCTCGATTCCAAGTAACTAAGTTGTCGGTTTACTTTCCGAGTGAAGTTTCACTCGAAGAAATTTAGAGAGTAGGATAATTGTCCATATTACTGTGTCTATTTCTATTAGTGTGCCTTTCTATTTAAATAAGCTATAAAAAGAAAACCAGCATAAATAAATAGAAAAAGAAAAATAGGAAAGAAGATAAATAGAAATAGAACAATTTTTTCTTAATTAAGTTAAACTTAGTAAAAAATACTTTTTCTATCTATTTGTGCTAGTTTTTTTACGGTTTATTTAAATATAAAAGCACGCTAATAGGAACGGGCACAGTGATATGGACAGTTACTCTATTTGCACTCTGTTCTCAGGAGTGTGCGTCTTTCTTCGCCGAATTGAGAGAAGAAGCCCACGTTGATCGCGTATTCATTGTGCATCCCGTGCACCGTTCAGCCAATTCGTCGAGCGTGTTTCTCTTAATTAACAATCGGCCGTTAATCAGTCTACTTTCGCTACCGAGTGTGCTGGAATATTAAGCGCAACTGGGTCCAGCACTTGTTCACGGTCGTCATCCCGAGATTAAATGCAGCAGGACGACATTAGTTGTTGATACCACAGTTCCCTGTACGCGACACTTTGGCCCAACAGATAACTGCTATCAGCTACATTGTCGGCCCCAATTTTGCCGCGATAGTACTCCAACAAGTGATTTTCCGAGGATCCGTCGACGTACAATTAGAGACTTTCAGTAAATCATAATAATGAAGTGAAATTGAAGAGAGGTTGAACTTGAGGAGAATTTAGGAAAAATAAAAGAAAATTCGACAGAACGAGCGATCATCGTGAACCATGAGCCCGGTAACTTCCCCCTCGAGAGAATCTGATCGCATTAGGCGAACGCGCGTATACACCGGGCACTACCTAGGCAACGTGTAATTCCATTAGGACGCCGTGCATTCCGCGGGAAAGGCGGACGTCGCGGTCGAAAGTTCGCGACGCCGCTGGATTCGCTCTAAGTAGCAATGCATCGCCGGTAATTGGCGTAATGCAGCCTAATATACGAGCGCCGTCGTAATGTGGTCGATTAAACTTTCAACGATACAGCACTCGCGCGTCTCGTGAATCGCATGAATAGTGAGCGCGCCTCTAGCGTCCAATTGCTAGAGCATTGCCGGAGGGAGATATTCCCTCTCGCGCTCTACTACGCGTCTTTTGCTTCCCGTTTCCTTCTCTTCATCTCTTTCTGACTCAAGCCTTAAGTCAGAAAAAGACGGAGAACAAGAAACAGAAAGCAAAGAGCACAGACTAAGTTTAAGTCGAGACAATGGCGCAACAAGAGACACGCGAGACATCTCGTGATTTAATCCACGCGATCTGATGGAGGTGGAATTTCGCCGAGATCAAAAAGTCTCATTTCCATCGTACGAATCATCGCGCTGTCTCTCCTCTAAACACTTTTCCGGATGAAATCTCAGTCAAATCACCACAATCGGAATAGCAAGACCGAATGTTTAACTGAAATGTTGAATTTATGCATTTGAATTTATGTATGCATTATGTTGAATTTATGAATAAAAAAGTCAGTTTTCGAGTGCAAATTCACTGCGAATTACAAGCAGTTTAACTAAACTACAGAATTTTTAATTGACATAAATAAACATTCGGTTCATCGGAGTGAATTGTTTCAATTACGATTGAGATTTTTGCTTGACTATTCTGACCGAATTTTTTCCACTAATATTTTTCACTGAAAATATCCATCTGAAGCAAGTAACAATTATTTCGATACAGTGTGTTGTTTTTCCATGCTCACCTGATTCGCTTTGTTGATCTGCTTCTTGAGCCCCGCGAACGCCATGGTGCTGTCGTGTCTGGCCTGTCTGGATCACGTAATTGAATCCTCCCGCAACTGTAACAATCACAACGCAGAAATGCAAGAATAATAACGTCAGATTAACCGAGAACGAGTGCAAGTGGGGAAAACTACGCACTATACACGCGCCAGGAGAGGAGCGAACGCAATTCGGTAAACAGGACGAGAGGATTCCGAATTTATGATCGCACCGGCTCTCTCTCTCTCTCTCTCTCTCTCTCTCTCTCTCTCTCTCTCTCTCTCTCGACGCGGTGCAGCGCAGCACAGCGGCTGGATGTTCGCCAAGGCAAACGGATGATTTTCAATGTTATCGATCGACTGTGTTTTCCAGCATCGTGACTCGTCCGCTGATGTAACAGCCGGCTTTACACCGTGCAGCGGCGGCTGGTAGTACGTTTTCGCGCGTATGTCACGGTGATCTCATACGTGAAGCCGTATCGCTACGTGACGACCTGACCTCTTAACAGGCTCTAATGAGAGCAAATAATGCGTACTCTTATTAACGGCGACGGCGGCGCGCGCGACGTACATCGATAGGTGATTCCTTGCACGATTCCCACCGAGATTGACATTCATTAAGTCGGAGCGTTCGACAAAATCCCGAGTTGAAATTTTAGTTTTACTTTGGATCTGAACTTCTCCTAATATCTGTACATTCTGAAGGATAAGTGTGTGTGTGTGTGTGTGTGTGTGTGTGTGTGTGTGTGTGTGTGTGTAATACACACGGAAATTCTATTGGCGCCTCTAAGTGGCGGAAAACGCACGAAACATCGCTTGTGAGCTCTAAAGAAGACCTCTCGGTCAAGTTCGTAGGTTAAATAGAATCGAAAGTGATTGATACATATGTATAGTGATTGATCAGAGTATCAAAGTAGGTGTGTTAAATTGAATACTGAGGTCGAAAGAGTAAGATCGTGAAATTTTGTGTCGGGATAGAATGTGGAATTGCGCGAAATCATCCGCATAAATGAAGTCCGCGAAAATCAATAAGATTTCTCACAAGTCATTCTTATTAAACGCTTTTTCAATTACTACACAAAAAAAGATTGATTAAATTAATGTGATAATGACGCAGCCAAATGCGTTTTGGTTGAAGAAAACAGAATTTCTGGTTCTTAAAGTCTGATCTGCAGCTCTTTGCTTCTTATTTCTCTCGCTCTCTAACTCAAGCCTTAAGCCGGAAAAAAATATGGAATAAAAAACAAGAAGCAGAAAGCACATTATAAATCTGGCTTAAGAATTGAATTTGGTTCATAAAAATCAGAAATTCTGTTTCTTTCAATCTTCGAAAAACACGTTTAATAGCGTCTATGTCATCTCGATCGATTTTTCTTGTCTTGAGCGATTATGTCTTGTCATGAATTGAAGTCGGTAACCATCCACATCGCCATGTTTTCTCTAAATTTTTGTGTCGATTAAAAGAGAGAACTATTACGTATTACGTAAGAAACAGATGCAAGGGTGTGTTAATTGGCTTTAATTCATGAAAAGACGATATAGCGTTACGTCATCAGTCGACGAAATGTTTTAAGTATAATTGAGGGTGACTTTCATCAAACTCCAATTAAACTGACCGATGATTAATCGGCAAAATTCCGGACAGCAATTTCTAGTTATGTAATTTGTCATCCGATAATAATCAAAAAGCTGATAATTCTGTCTATGTTGGCAAAATAAGACAGGCACGATTCACTAAGAGAAAAACTATAAGAAATAAATATTTATTTGGTGTGTACACACTATTAACATATATTTACTCAGTCCTAAATTCTTTTATTTAAATAGAACAAACAATTGCTTTCCTGAAAAGTTAAAATTAAAAAAAAACTGTTTATTTCTTAGGTACTTTTTCTCTCACAATATATTTAATAAATAACGATTTCAAATATAAGTTCAAAGAAAGGGCGAGAAAATATTCTTACTCGTTTCAATAACAAACTTAACTAGTCAAGTATGTTTTAATAACAAATTCGACTTATTAAGTATGTTGTAATAACAAATTTGACTTGTCTTTCATTTTCCGACAAATCCGCCGGCTGAATTAACTGTTCAATTGCATTAATCAAAATTTGGCGAAAATCATTCCGACTTAACGAGAGCGAGCGGTAAAGTTGTCCCAACTAAGGCGAGCACTATGCATCGGTCGATTAATGGAATAATAGAAGAGCTGCTCGCGAGCGATCTATAAATGATATATCCGCGAGAGAGTGAGCTCGCTCTATCGACGGCAAACGACATACTTCCCGCATCGATACTCGTCCGTCTCTCTCCCCTCTCCCCCCCATCTCTCTCTCACACACACACACAAATTTCCATCTTGCTCTTGTCAAGTGGAAAATTTAATATTGACTCCATTTCGCGAGCGAGAATCTCGGAATCTCCGATCGATCAATATGCCATGCGCAATGATCAAGTGCAAATAATGTGGCACACATTACCGTCAATAACCCACAGACGCCTCATAAAAGCAACACGTTCCCCTCGTGAATTCGCAAGATCGAAGGAGATACACGTATCGAGCCGAGTGTTCAACGGTGGATGGTGAAGAGGAAGCTCTACAAGCAAACGCGGCTCTATAATTGATCCGTCGCAGACGACGATTCCGCAAAGACCATCAGAATCTGCGGTGATTAATTAATTCAGCGTGTGCCACAGTCGAATCCAAGAGATGGTACAGCACGCACTTTGCGCACAAGGATTGCCGTCGTGATTCGCGCGGGGAACCGCCGATTGACGACAACCTTCCCCCAGGGTGAGCCTCCTCAATTATGAAATTGAGGTTTCCGTTAACGAGCAGACTCGAGCCGGTCTCTCTCTCCCTCCCTCTCTCTCTCTCTCTCTCTCTCTCTCTCTCTCTCTCTCTCTGCCCTTTTGTCTCTCACCTTCCCTCTATCTCTGTCTCTTTCATCCCCAAGAACGATGACTACGGGCACGAGCGAGGCACGTCCGTTAACGAGGACAAGCATGGCGCATATGACAAGGTCCTCGGTGCGCCCTGAAGTGCTTATGCAGCCACATCGAAATGCAGCCGGTAACGCGCGCACACTAATTAACGCGGCGTCCTTCGACACTAATGACGCCACGGAAGATAAGCTGTGAGCGTAATGATCGCGGTGGGCTCCGTTAAAAGGCCGACGATTCGATCGTGAGCCGATCGCGAAAAAGGGTCCTCGTGGGAGGGAGTCGGGCACCCCAGAGAGGAGACAGATGAGACTCACGACGAGAACATCCGCACGAGCATCCGATGAGATGGTGGATCATCAACACACACACACACACATCGGCTGGATCGTAGCGAGCCGCGTTGCTCGTGATAACACGACAATTGGCCGATCTACGCCGTCATTACGCTGGTTAGTCGCGTTGAAGACTATGAATTTCTATCTGAACGAAAAAGTCTTGAATTTCTTGAAAAGAAAAATTCGTTTTAATTTAATCTCTAATTGTTATAATTGGAAAAAAAGAGAGAGAGGGGGAAAAGGAAGAGATATATGACGTAGTGCTACGTCATTGATCGCAGGGACGTTAAGACTGACTTGAAGAGAACGAGTGTTTCTTGGCGAACACCGCATATTGATCGATTAATAGAGTGACAGAAGAGCTCTGCGAAACTTATAAATGATGCATCCGCAATAACGAAGTTATTGCTGAGCGCTCAGTGCGGATTGCACTTGCGATTCTGCAGCTACTCGTCCCGTAGTGGCTGAACTGTATAATAATCTCGACTACGACACCAATGATTTCACGATATAGTCTTGCGACGGGAAATATATCGCGAAGAAAGCAACCCAGGGATGTAATCGCTGACGAAGATAACAGATGAGAATCATCCGTTGACGATTTCAGTTCAAGAATGCAATCGAAAGTGGTCAATAATGTCGTCGTGAGGAATAGAGTAGAGGAGAGTAGAGTAGAGGAGAGTAGAGTAGAAGAGAGTAGAGTAGAGTAGAGTAGAGTAGAGTAGAGTCGAGTAGAGTAGAGTAGAGTAGAGTAGAGCAGAGCAGAGTAGAATAGAATAAGAGAAAGCGGGAGTAGAATAGTGTAGAGTAGAGTAAAGAAAGATAGAGTAGAGAAAAGGAGAAAAAGAGAGAGAGAGAGAGAGAGAACGAACCGATCGTCATCGATTTGCCGTAACCACCAGCACCTGATCATCTCTGCGTCGATCCTAGTCCACGAACGGGACGACAGGTCGCCGACGAAGGAGCGTATCTCGTGGTGTCGCGTGCGCGCGGGGGTTGCTCTTCGAGAATGGATCGTCGCGACGACCCTCTCTCGTGAATCGGAGCAAGGGATAGGGGAGACGAGTAGCAGGTAAATGAATGCAAATACGACGGACAAAAGGACGCGTGGTCGGTCGGCCCTCACCTCTGGCTGCAAATACGGAGCTCCGGCGGCCGGCGAACCGGATGCACCCCTAAAGCGATCTCTCTGCTCGCTCGCACCGAACGACGTGAACGACGGTCGTGTCGACGATGAACGTACAGATGCGTGCGCGAGTGCTTGCTTGCTTGCTTGCTTGCTTGCGTGCGTGTTTGCTTGCTTGCGCGAGCGTACGTGCTTGCTTGCGTGCGTGAGTGCGTGCGTGAGAACGGAGAACGAGAGCGTGCAGGGATCCGCGTGGGCCGCGAGCACCACGAGAGCACCACCGACTCGTACGTGGTCGGTCTCGTACACTGCGAGGTCTCCTTGTAGGGGGTAATTTTCTACTAGCCGATCGATACGTGGCTACGGCTCCCTCCTTCCCTTCCTGCCCCTCTCTCTCTCTTTCTCTCGCTCGCTCGCTCGCATTCTCTCTCTCCCTCTCTCTCCTTTCCCCGAATCCCCTCTGGTTTTCCTCCCACCTCTCGACCTCCACCGCTGATATCCTTCCCTCCCCTTTTCCACCCCCCGATAGCTGCTTCTCCGTCGCTCTCGACTCTTCTCGCCGCTCTGTCTCTTCCTTCAGGGGCGGATCCGGAAGGGAAACTGTATTCGGAGCTTGAATTTGTTCTCGTTCTCGAGTGTTCTTCAATGTAGGACGTGACTCGAGAAATCATCCCTCGATGACGTGCGAATGAGACTTTGGCGATAACGATAATACGGTTTATCGCTCTGGGATTTTCTTCTCCTTACTTTTTACAGATCTTACAGACGCTCTCCGTCGGGGGTTACCTCGATCCACCACTGCCAGCCCTTTCTCTCTATCCTCCTTGTCTGTCCCACCACCGCCGCACGCGTGCCTGCAACCCTCGACTTTATTCGCGCGCCTCTGCTCCTATCACGCGTATACCGGGCGTCCACAGCAACAAGAAGTCAACGTAGTCGGACGATTACTTCAGGAATACGCGCGCGCGCGCGACAGGAGCGTAGGTGAATAATGTCCTCCAAGGGTACTCTTGGGACACTTCTCGAAGTATCGTGTGCCTTTCTTTAAGCACTTCCGAATTCACGTAAACGAATTAATTCATTGACACTCGCGCTAACATTTGGATCTCTACTCGCGATTTTTCTGCTAATGCATATCTGCAATTCTTCGCGGTCTTTTTAACAAACTCTCGTTCGCGAAGTATCTCGGGCTCATATTGTACACTGAGAGAAGAAAGTGGCTAATTTCGTTAAAATTATAATTATTTCTAGCACTAATTATATTTCTTGTTACTCTAACGAAACAGTACGCGACAGCAGCACTACACGTGTAAAGTTGCTCTCTAAATTCCTCTAAGTGAAATCTCACGTAAAATGAATAAAAACTCACTCGAAGCGGGAAAAATATTGTAGTAAAAATTATAGTAAGTTTTATAATCTTGAACCATACAGAATTATGATCGAAATTAAGATGTTCAAAAATATTGTGCATATGTGACTTCTTATTACAAGTTATATTTGATAGTTTCTTTACGCACACATATATATACAAATTTCTTTATATTGTATATTGAACTTATATATATATATATATATATATATATATATATATATATATATATATATATTATTCTTGAATATATATATAATATTCTTGAGTGAATTCTTACGAATATACGAGTGAATGTTTCAATTTGTTAGAGTGAATTTATTCCTGTAACGGTACGCAAGTTAAGCAAGCTTCCGACTTGTGAAAAATTAATTTTTAATTAAAAAAATGGAGCATATCACAGATTCACTCTTCAATTTTGAATGAAGGCATTTGCTTAACGATTCAAAGTGGGTAATTCACTCATAGTGAACAGAAAATCGTGCTAATTTAAGTGATTCGATTATCACTCTAGTTTTCGAGTGGATTTTCAGATGGACTGAGATTCAAAGGATGCAAAAATGATTTTTCTAATTATCTCACTAATTATCTCACTACACAGTTACAGTCAGAAAAATACCAAATGCTTCTCTCTCTCTCTCTCTCTCTCTCTCTCTCTATCTGTCTTTCTCAATGTATGTCTGTCTTTCTCAAATGCCACAACTCTTCTGATATTTTATTGAATATTCTTCCGAGTCAATGACCGCGCAGCCGATGTACATTGTCCTAGTCGAGAACTCGGTTCGCGGCTCGCTATTTCATCGGGAGGATGGAAATTATAAGAATATTAAAGAATCCCCCCCCCTCTCTCTCTCTCTCTCTCTCTCTCTCTCTCTCTCTCTTTTTTTCTTTCTCGAGAAGAGAGGAACATGGCAGATCGGCATTGAGAGCGGGTAGTCGGTAGCAGCAGGAATCGATATTTTACGATTTATTAATACCGTTTCAAAAGGATCTTCCTGCTTCGCGTAGATGCTGCGCGCATACATGTCACAATGGAGATCTCAACAACGTATCGATTATGAATATAATCGGTACTTCTCTCTCTCTCTCTCCTTCTCACTCTTTCCCTCTGTCTGTCTGTCTATCTATCTTTCTCCTTCTCTCGTAACGTTGTTCAGCCACGGCAATATACGATTTGTCCACGAGCCTTCGCAATTGACGATTCTCTCTTTCCTCCGCTTCTGTTACTCATCTCGAGCTTTTCGTGTCAACGAGCACGTTTGAGTAGCGCGGTGTACCTGCTCGCGGAATAATTTCTTTCTCATTTCTTTTTAATGCAAGGCGCACCTTAGTCCACAAGCCGCCGCCGCCATCGCGTTTAATTTCCCCGGGGACTGTTAATTAGCGTTAGAGGCACGAGTCCGGGGTCGAAGTGTCCCTTTTAATCACGGCTCTGGCGAAACGCATGAGAACTAAATCTGTATGTGACAGTTAGTCTAAATTAATAACACCGTCGAGAGATGACATCATCATCGTGAAGGGGGAAACATGCGTCGAGTTTTAGTTATTCAATTATACACTAGAAGAAAAAATATCTAAGAAGCAAATCAATATTTACCCCTTGGGTAATAATATACTTGCTTATGTTAACATAAAATATTTTTCGAATAAGAAAATATACATTTTCTTAAAATCTTTTTTCATGAAAGCAGTTGTTCATTCTACTTAAATGAACTAATTTAGATTTAAGTAAATATATCATTAGTACTAACCGAATAAAATATTTTCCCCTTTCTCGGATATTTTTCTGTCAGTATATTATTGTTTTCACCAATTGGCGGAAAATTTTTTTCTTCAATTTTCTACAAATTGTCGATTGTGAATTTTCTACAAATTGCGTTTGTGAATCATTATAATTATAGATTTCACTTTCTGCATAATAAATATATGCGCTTTATCAATCTTCCGGGGTTAATCCGCAGGTTTATCGGTG